CATGTATATATATATATTATGGTCTCTGAGTTGTCTTCTTCTTGCGCTACACATTCCGTAATACCCCCGGAAAGTATTTAATTTGATTGCAAATGCATTTCAGAAGACTTTGCCTGCTTTTGGTACGCTTAACTGGACTAGAACAGAGTTCAACGAACCGATTCTGGTTTTATGTTTTCTTCTTTCTAAAACGCCACGAAGCCAGCAGATCTGCCACAGCTGATGACGATCTACATGCCACAAGCAGCAGCAACAACAAGAACAAGAACAACCTACAAGAAACGTGTCATAATAATAAGAGGAACTCAACGAACCATAAAATCGTATAACAGTTGAAGCATATCGATAGGATCTACTGCCGGCACCCTGCCCACCTTTCTCCATGCCCGCTTCTTGGTCATAATATACCCGGCTCTATCGGACTAATGCTTCTTCTTTATCATTTCTTTTTGCCGCATTTGTTGACTTTTAATCGTTATCGCTGCACAAATTGTTGGTGTTTGACAAGTAGTCAACACTTTATTTCTTATTATTTTTTTTTTTTGATAACAATTATCGAACGCCCCTTGACACGAGGTGCCACGCAGCCAAAGCGGGGTGTGGGGTTTGAGGGGGCGGGGTGTGTGTCTGGTGGCAACCGGCGGATGTTTTTATTTGTGGTTTGCACTGCAGTCGCTCGGTCTGAATGTGGAGTATTTGTTGTTCAAGTTGTTGCTGATTATAAATTTCTTTTACAATTTATGGCCCTAGCCAATAGTTGACTTCTTGGCCTGGCCTGCGAGCTGTCGATAGGGTTTCGCTGCGCACAGAATGCAGTCCGTTGTGGTGTGTGTTTGTACACAAATTGATTTTCTATCATGGCCATAAATTTCACTAGAAAAATACAATTTTGAAAATATATATTTATGATATACTTAGTATGCAACAGGCAAAAGGTTATTTGCTTTTCTGAGAAGCCACATGTCATGTTAGACTAGAAATTGTTTTCAAGTCTATATTTCTGTAAGAATTATGTTGTATAAGTGTGCGAGTGCTGCTCTTATACATAACATATATACACACACATATTTTATACGGTTTTGCGAGACAAACACAAGTCATGAAGTCATTTGCGCGTCAGCAGCAGCCAAAAGTTTGCTTTTGCACTTAGTAAGCATTTTCTTTAATTAGAATAAGGCACTAAAACTTTTCCACAAACACATCGCATTTTCCCCGCGCGCACGCACTCTCTCCCTCTCTCTCTCTCTCTCACACTCTACAAATTTTCATTTGCTGTCTAACAAATTCATGAATTTCCACAGATTTACAGCAAATTTTGCAAATTGAAAACGCATATAGCATATGTGGAGTGTTTGACAAGGGGCTGAGGGGGGAGTGTAGAGGGTAGCCAAATGATGTCAAGGTATGTAAAGCTCGCCTCTGAGCCAAGCTAAGCGTTTTCTTGGCTCTTTGCCAAGTCTGATAATGCCTGCGAAAGTCGGTATAGGCTTTTGCCAGGGGCATGTGTGTGTGTGTGTGTGGATCAACACAATGGCCATGACTACATTCAATGCAAGCCGAAACCACCGCACCACCGCACCAATGCACCACTGCACCACCGTCAACGTGTCTATTTTCCCTTCCGCAAGGCCTGTCGACAATTACAGTAAACAAATTCGCACACGTTGCTTGCTGCTGTGGTGACAGGCTGCAAAACAAGAGACGCAAATAGACAGCAGCAGAAGCAGAAGCAGTTGCAGAGGCAGCAGTGGCAGCATCAGCAGCAGCAGTGGCAGCAACAGCAGCAACAGCAGTTGTAAGTGAAAGAAAAGTGCATAAAAGCTTTTGAGTGTGAGGGCGTAACGGTGCCACGCCCACATGCCCTGCGGTCATGGCCATACCAAGGCACACACACACAACTCGTATTTTTGGCAGGCACAGTTTTTGGCCATGCATGAGTTTTGCATTTTTTACGCCACGCCTCGGCCCCAACTGCAATTTGGCAGCGCGCTGTGCCTGAAATGCTTTGCCCTAGCATACTTTTCTGGGCCATGTCCTCATGTGTGTGTGTGAGTGTGTGTGTGTGTGTCACGTTGCGACAATTCAATTGAATTGTTGCTGTGAGCTCTTGAGCTACAAAGCAATGGAGCGAACAGCAGCAGCAGCAAAGCTGAAAGGAAGCCCGCCCCGGTTCAGGTTTAAGTTACAGCCAGCCTCGGAGGCGACGGCATCAGCTGCAACATTTTTGTGCCACCAGCCAGCTAGACTGACTGACGCCGCCGCCGACTCTGACAAGGGATCTGGCCAGTTGCCAGTTGCCAGTTTACAGTTGGGGGCTGCCTGGCTGAGTCCTCGCATTGCCTGATTTATGAGCAGCTATTCACGCAACGCATAAACACGCCATTGCACGGGCCTTAAAGTCGTTTGGCAAGAGATCGGAACTCGGAGCCGGGCCACGGATGCCATGGCATCAGCTTTCACGTTGAGCTGGCACTTGGTATATTGAATAACATTTGAATCGAATGATTGATTCACTTTATGACTCATCTTAATTAGATGCCATTGTTTTACACCCACTTGAATGGCCATATGTCAGCCTGCTGTTAGTTTCTAGAGACCTGATCAAATGTTTGCCAGATGCCAAGAGTATTGGCTTTATTCGACTGTCGTCCCCATCAGCTCGCACTCTCTCGCTCTCTCGCTCGCTGGCCTTGCGCTTCTTTTCTTTTCACATTCAGTTGCCACACTTGTGTGCAACGGCATTTTCAATTTTCCATTTCATTTTGCTTTTGCAGCTTGTTGAATTCGCAATGCATGACATGGAAAATATGTGTCACGGCTTTGCGGCCAGCGACGCGTCGCGTCGTCGTTGCGCCAGTTGCCAGTTGCCCGTTGCCAGTTGCCCGTTGCCACATGCGCCCGCCCCAGCGTGCAACACATGACAACAGTAGCTGCTGCCACAGTAGCTGCCGACTTAAATTTAGCTGCTGATGAATCGGCTGCGGCTGCGGCTGCGACTGCGACTGCGACTGTTTACAGTTTTTGTCAAACTCATTTCGTTCCATTTGCTAATTTTATGGCCACAAAATAAAAAAACATCTGGCCAGCTAATCGGTGGGGCTACGGCAATATACTATATGCTAATGTGCCAATGTAGGTGCAGCGCAGCACACATAAACATCATGTAGAAGCCATTAATTTAAATTATAAACTATAAAGACAAAATAGGCAACACACACACACACGCACACACAGACACACTCACACACACGCGCGGCAGACGTATCTATGCCATATAAGTCGATAGCTCAAAGCGCCTGTTTTCTGCTTCTTGATTTGTTATTATTGTTGCTGCTGTTGCTGTTGTTGTTATTTTTGCTGCTGTCATTGTCATTGCAGTTGTCATAAAATGCGTGTCATCAGCCCACGCCAGCATCACACACCTCTCCCCCCAACCACCCGCCTTCGGCTGCCCCACACAGAGAGACAGTTGCACGCAGCTATCTTCAATCCGGGCTCAATTGTCGCGGCAACAGCTATTAACACATAAATACATACGCACATGTGTGTGTGTGTGTGAGTCTTAAATTTATTGCTGTTGCAACAATTTGCCAAAGGGGTTAGCTAACAGCTGCAGCAACCTGTTGATGCACTCGCTAAATGATGTGTACATGATTTATTTTAGAGATGAGCTTAAGCAAAACTTTGGCATGTCAATCCATAAATTAGAACATTTTTGTACTTTTTATTGGTTCATAAATTATCACAGCAACAATTTAGAGAACGAAACCTGAACAAAACGCCATCTAGCTTACAAATGGGTTCGGTTTTGACTAAGTTATGAAAGTTTGACGCCTACAGCAGGCATTTACTGGGAGGCTTACAAACATTAGAAGTTCAAGTTATTATCAGTTTTAGCACGAATTTAAAAAAATTAAAAGAAAACAATAATAGGCCATAAAAATAACAAATTTGAGAAACGAGACGTTAAAAAATATTGTTTACAATGGTTAGTTGACAAAGTATATATATGATTAAATATTTATTTATTTATTTACATGTAGAAAAGTTTGGTTAAATATAGATTAATATAGGACTGAAGCCTTTTATTACAAAAGACAAATTATGACCCGAATACCCTGTGCTCACTGCGAACTGTCATGGCGTCCATAATATTGTATTAGGCGTGTTAGACTTAGTTAACACCTAAGACTAAAATTAACCTATGTTATGAACCAATTATGGAATTAGACGTTTTTAATATAAACGTATATTTATATGTTCTTGTCCATTCATAACTAAATCTTATTAAATCATCCGTCGGCTGGTCTTCAGCTGAGGCGTAAAGTCTTTTTATCTGTGAATTTTCCAACTGTTGTTCAGAAATTTTGACGACAGGTGGCTGTGGGTCACTTTATAAATAATTTGTGATTTGCAACCCCTGCCCTTTTACTATTTGATAGACAATGTCAATGTTGATTGAAAATTGCAAGTAGTTTGTGACATGCTGGGAATTTTATGGCCAAGCCAAATTTATAAGGCAGCGGCAACAATAGCAACAGCTGGCCAAATGGAATCTCAGTTTATGGAGAGGCGGCACCCAACAAATTTGCAATTACGGGCAATTGAAAAGTTATTAAAACGCCCCAAATTGATAAAAAGAAATAAATATTTCTATATATAAAAGTAGTTTAAGCGAAACGCAAGAGACTAAAAGGAAAATGTATGTTCAATTGTTTTGAAAATGTATTTAAAGCCCACGCACAGTACGCCGACATGATGGGTGGCGCCACCAAATTGAAGCATAAACAATTAAGTGAACCACACCCGAAGACAGCACAGAAATGTAACAAGAAAAGAAAAAAACGATATTTCGAAGATGTTAGAGGAAAGCCAAGAAGTTGGCAGACATTTACAGCCAAGATGTGAAGAGTTTTATAGACTAGAGGTAGAGCTGTTATTTAGATGCGAATTTTGGATAGATAACTAATTTTTGTTCTTCATATATTTTACTTTTGCAGGCGCCATTTGCGGTGGCAGCTGCTGCAGCAATGCCACGGAACTGGAACTGCGCCACAAGGCAGCCGGAAAGTTTGAGCAACTGCTGCACCATCACACGAGCAGCCTGCGCGGCATCCTGGAGACCACGGCCAGCCAATTTCAGAGTGAGTATTTGTATATGCATATGAATACTGTGAATCGCATTTGAATGTGAGTGCAGGCTGCAAAATGTGGCAAATGAAAACTGAAAGCTAAAAACTGGAGACTGCCAAATGGCAAATGGCAAATGCTTTTATGCAAATCAGGCCAGTCGCTCGGTCGGTTGGTTGGTCGGTTAGTCAGAGTCGGAGGCAAAGTCTGAAAAGTTTATAAACATATATATACATATATATTTTTTCGTGGCAATAAATTATTTATAATATGCAAATATGAGCGTGGGTCGCAAAAATTATGATGATAACTTTTGTTTTTTTTTTTTCTGTTATTTGAATTTAACAAAATTAAACTTGAAACGCGAAATTGATTTGTAATTTGCATTTGTATGCAGATCAAAGCGACTCACGGCAATGAAAGTCAGGCATATTTACCTGTATACATATATATATATGTGTGTGTATGCCAATCCATATCCATAAGCAAGCGAGTCTTGCCCCGGGCATATCCGCTGCGAGCTGTTTGGAATGCAACAAAGTGTCTGCATCTAATTAAAAAGGCATTAAATATTGTTGTTGCTTGTGTTGTTGTTGTTGGAATTGTTGTTTGTGTTGTTGTTGTTGCTGTTGTTGTTGTTGTTGTTGCTCATCGCCTTTTGGACAATTTGCAAACTTTGTTTGGGTCACGTTTTGGGAGGACAACAGCGGCAGGAGAACTTTTCAATGCCTGCAAATTGTTGTCGTACATGTTGTAAATCTCGCTTTAAGGCGTGCCCCCAGCTCGGGCTGCTGTTCTCAATATGTATTTGTTCTCGTCGTTCTTGTTGTTGTTGTTGTTGTTGCTGTTGTTGTTGCTGTTGGCTGCAGTTCTTGGAAATGGGCGCGCATTTAAAATTAAAAAGTTTTGTTTGCGGCTGCACCCGACTCTGGCTGTTTTTACGGCCCGCGTATTCGAGCACACAATTCGCGCACATATATCTATTGTTTGCATTTCATGTTTATTTAACGTCATTTAAATAATTTAATTCATTAAATCGTTTAAATTTGATGCAAAAATACAAATTAATTTGACCGAGTAAATACTCTGTGTAGTTGTCAATTGAAATCTGAGCCCTTAAGGCCTCTATTGAAGAACTTTTGTTCGATTCTTTTTTATTTGCCCGCGCTGTGGCACGAATTATTTAAAATTCTCGGTGCATTTGTCTGCCTTTGCATGATGTCACATTAGAGCTCGTGAAGTATCCCACGTTCAATTCAAATGCAAAAAACAAATATTAATATGCAATCAGCGTATTCATTTAGCTTAATAAATACACAGGCAAGCAGGCATGGAAATGAAATTACATTTAAAATTGCAATTTATTTATTTAACAACCATAAAAAAATCAAATAAATGTAGGCGCGTGCTTTAAAAATGCACGAGGCTTGCAATTTTGTTGCAAATGTTAAATAAAACTGTGTTTTTTCTTTCCCCTTTTGTTTTTTAATGCTGTTTATTTAATCATATAATGCATATGAAATTATGTTACATATAATTTATGCATGTCAAACAATTTGTCGCACAGTGATTGGAAATTGTTTGGCATTTAAGCCTCTTGGAGTTGTTTAACTTTGGGATTTGGCCAACTCGTGTATGGCCAACTGCTTTTATGTCTACACACGCAGACCATAAAAATTGATTTACCTCGTGCCAGCTCGTACGACCGTGCGTATGCGTAATATTTGCTCAAGCTTCAACTCTCCAAATGCCTTTAACTATAACATTACATTTTATATTATATTATTTCTGGTATTTTCGAGCCGTTGTCGCGCTAACGCATAAAATATATTTTATTGTATATAAAATATAAATGCACATTGCCGCTTAAGGCCGCAACTTGAGCAGCAGAATCAGCCGCATCGAGTGCTGCGCATATGCAGGTTTTCCTGGCGCTTTTCCTCTCGCCCTGCGCCGCTTCTTTCCGTTTCCTGCCTGATTGTTGTTTTGTGTGTTTGCGCTGTTTTGTTCTCTTGTGTTGCGTGGCTTTGTTGTGCTGCATGTGCTGCTTTACATTGTTGTTGTCGCTGCTTCTCGTTCTGCTGCTCCGTGCGAATGCATGTTCCGTATTATTTTTAAGCAAGTATTTGCGTGTGTAAACACGTTTCGCAGCTTACGAATTATGCCAACTCCCTCCGCCTTTATGCCCTGCCCCCTTTGGCAGAAGCGCCTCCACAAGCTGCCCCTAGCCAGGCTGGCGGGTCTGTCTCCGTTGCGGGCGCAGTATGTCTCCATTGCACTTAGCACGTTCCGCTGCTCCATCTGCCCCTTCATCCTCACTTTTAATGCTTTTGCCTGACAAAAAGCCGACCCCCCCCCCCCCCCCTTCGCAGCAGTTTCTTGCCTGCGCTCCGGCGTGTGCCTGCATAAAAGTTCCAAATGCTGACTTACTGATCAGCTCGTTTGGCTGGCTGCCACACACACACACACACAAACTTTTCGCTCTTTGTGCAACAAAAACGAAGTGTGGCAAAAATTCGTTTGCTTTTTATATTTTCGCATTTTTACAATGCAACAGCAATAACAACAACAGCAACAACAGTGCGTGCACTTTCATAAGTCGCAACTTTCGTGGCACATTCCACTTGGCAGTCGCCTCTCTCCGCGCTTCTCAAGCCCGCTGCAACGTCTGTTTCGGCCGTATCTTGCGCTTTGGCCAGCTTGCTGATGCTGTTACTTCTTTTGTCTTCTGTGTTTTTTTTGTCTACGAGCAAAGTGGCTTTTGGCCGTCATCGTTTGTTAACTGCTTTTGTTTGGCTTGTCACAAAGTGAAGCTGTTAGCTAGTTGGTTAGTTGGCCAGACCCGAGATACCGAGCTTGACTTCGAGTGGCTGCAGTTGTTATCATTATTTTTTACTGCAACTGCAACAATGTGGCAACTGAAATTGAAGTTAAGCTAGGAATTTTTGTAAACCTACGACCTCGTAAGGTTTCCAAACCTAAACAGGATTACGTGATACGATCTTACGTATATATATAATAAATTCCCGCTGCAAACTTGTTTCACTGCTTCCAATTAACACGATTCTTTAAATTTAAATATATATTTGGCTCAAACTGCCGACCTTGACTGTGCAGCTAGATTTACTGAATGAATATCTGAAGCGGATAGCATCAAGCAACAATAAATAAGCTGCAGCAAAACCAGCTCGTAATTTGTTTATTGAAAAACAAAATTAATGGAGTCATTTGCGGTTTGTCAAACAAAACGCGATAACAAAAAATATTTAATTAAAAATATAAAAAATATTATAAAAATTGCGCAACAGGTTTCATTAATTGCCAAAGGCAGCAGCGGCTCCATTTTGTCTGCCCAACTTCTGTCTGTCTGGCTGGCTGCTCCGTCCAAATGATATTTATAAGCATGATAATTAGTTGCTAACCACTGTAAATGTACAGCATTTGTAAGCGCTCACTTTTAATTGGAGGCACCACAAAAAAGAAAGAAGAGAAAAGAAAAACTTAAAAAGCGGCAAGAGATTAGGAGCTAGGGGCAAGAGGCAGGCAGCAGTTGGTAGAGCTGCACAGTAGACAATTAATGCGTATGCTCTGAAGCACCTCAATATGACGACGCAGTTATATAAAGTTGACTCACGACCAGAGTGAAGAGCTAAATTCATCCAATTACTTTGACATTGTGCTAAAGCCAAGCATCCAGGCAGCCAGGCGCAGCCAGCACGGAGCCCACAGCTGTTGGAGTGGCCGAGTTGGCTGAGTCAAGTTGTTCCTGGTGCTGCTGCTCCTGCTGCTGGCAACTGGCATCTGGTTTGGGGCGTGCCAAGTTGGCACGCCTGCCAGCAGATAGCTAGTTACAATCCAGGCACTTGAGCACAGTGTGCCGTCTATATCGATGCGAGCTGGAGCCCAGATAGCAGCAATTATCATAGAGCAGATAGCAGCATAGAACGCTGGCTATAATTATGTGTGCTCCACCTTAAAAGTCACCCAATCAGTGCAAGATGCGAGACTCCAAAAACACTTCAAAGCACCTGGTCGGGCAATTCCCAGGCACCACTGTGCCAGGTTCTTTGGCAAACTGCAGACAGCACAGGCAAAAACTTGCCACATTTCAAAATGGACCCGGGGAGAGCGATAGAGAGAGCGAGAGAGATAGAAGGAGAGCGAGCACGGGCTAGAAAAATCAAGAAATACATGCATATAAAATGCAAATAAAAAAGCGGCAGATACTAAAATTGTAATATCCGCACAGGAACGCAGGCAGCGCACAACACAAACCGGGGAATAAAATATAAAAAAAAAGAAGCTAAAAACTACACAAAAATAAAAAACAGGAAGGCACGGCTAATCGCAGCACGCCGAACACCAAATACCCTTGATTTTACAAGAGAGTTTTAAAGATTCTTCATATAGCTTTTAACATTGTCATCCGATTCGATATGATTTGCAAAATATGTGTAGAGAATAAGTGAAGCTTAAGATAATTTGAAAAACAGAAATATTTTTCATATAGACACACTTTTAGACCTATTCTTTCCATAGACCTGTGATATGATTTTGTAGTGCGATGTTCATACGATTTTGCATAGCAACTCGCCTTTGATACCGATCAGGAATATCTATATGAATCTATATGAATATCGTCTCCTTTGTCTCCTAAGAATTACACATCTCGTGACAAACTTATAATACCCCGCACAAAGGGCATCGGAAGGGGCAGCAGAAGGCGAAACCTGTGGGCTATCCCTGCATATATGTATATGTATATTTGCCATGGCGTGGGAAACAAAAACAACTGCGAAACGCGGTCGCATCTGCCGGCGCGAGTGAGCCGCTTTTGGGGCTGGGCCCGAGGCAGCGAGGAACCGGTCCGAGCCAAGCTTGGACGCGACTGCAGTGCCCACTGCTCGCCATGCTAATCCCGCTCCGGCGCCTTCTAATGAAGCAAATGTGGCCTAGCGCTGATATTTGTTCTATGAATACGTAAAGAACTTTCGAGTGAATGGAACTTGGTTTTTATTTTTTTTTTTTGAATTTTTATTGGCCCTACCTGATGCCCTTTATGTGTTGTTGTCGTGGGCGCGGCACGGCGCGGCCCGACTCCAACTCTGGCTCCCTTTGCAGTTGGTCTCAAATGGCATTTGGCCACAGACCGTAGCCGGAGCGTTCTCTAATTCAATCAGAATGTCCGTTTGCCCGTTTGGAGTCGTCGGTGCTTGATGTGTGACGATTGCGACAATGTTGAAAAATAAACCTTAGACTAATGAAATTTTCATGTAACATGGGCAAACGGCATTTGCCTTATGCCATATTGCGTTTGGTTATCTGCCTCGTCCCACTCAAGCATCCAGTGCTCTATTAATTCCCAGAAACTAGAAATAGAGAGAGAGAGAAAGGGAGAGACAAATTGCAATTAGTTGTGCACAGCACATGAAACAACAACCCTGACAGCTTGCATATATGTATATATATATACATACCATATGTATATGTTTCTGGGCAGACTTTTGATATGGAGCCACAAATTTAACTGCCTGCACATAGCCTGTGGCTGGCTGTTGCCAGTCGGTCGTCCTCTGCGTGTGGGCTGTGTGAAAACCTCAACTTAATTGCTCACATTAGCCCGACAAAGCAGCTGCAATAACATTAAGTATACGCAGCGTATACTTCATGCTGCCTCCGCCTCAGTCGCAGCCACAGCCTCAGCCTTAGCAAATGGCAATTTAACTATCAAACGCTGACAACTTGTTGCCAACATTTTATTACAATTTTAATAGACTTTAACATTAGCAACTGTGGGCGAGAAATTAAGCACATGTTTAAACATAACTATATCATATTGTTTAAGATACTTAAAAATGTGTTTTTTTTTTCGATAAAATCCCAAATCTTATGAGCTTGAAAAATATCTTAAAAAGTCTAGAATTTAGGTTCCCACTCAAAATATAAAAATATACAAGAATATTTCGAGAATTGAGCTTTAGTACAAGTCTCAAAATAAGGACAAGTTTCTAAACTGAAATCTAAATTTTTCTTGCAAAAGAACTTTTCTGGGAATAAAATAATAATATGATTATGAAATTATGTTCAAAATATGAGCTTAAAAATAATCTTAAAATAAATAAATAGACAAAGACTTAATAAAAAAAACAATCTTGAATTAACTTACCCAAAGCAAGTGCAAATGTTGTCCAAGCACAGTTAGATTTGATATTTCCAACCCCTTCGAATCAATTTTTATTTTAATAAAGATTTCAAAAACTTAAATATCTAGATAACTTAAGGACAAAAACTCTGATTTTTATATAGTTAGATTTTAAAAACTATGTATATTTAATGAAGACAAGCACAAAGTTAAACCAAATAAATTCGTTCACATTGATATTCGATTTTAACACTGGGTTTTTTCTCTGAGTGTAGCTGCACTTTTTGTCTCACTGCAGATGACAGCTCAAACTGGCAGCTTTGTAAAGGTTGAAAAACGTTGGCATTGCGGCTGGCTGCGTCTTGACTCTGACAATGGCTAATGGTCAGCATATATTTATAAATAATATATATCCATATATAATATACATATATATATGCTGGCAGTTAGCACTCTCTTATTCAACTGCGCTAACAATAACGATCACAATTACTCGCACAATTTGTAATTAATGTGCGAATATCTGCGGCCATCAACGCATTTTGAGCTCGCGTGTTAATTATTAAGTGCAGCATCCGCCTGTTGAAGGCTTCATTTTCAGCAGCTCAATGAGATTAGCGGCAGGATGTGTGAGGGGGCCATTTCCACATTCTAAAGCTGCGCTCCTCTGTTGGCATACGAATTGCATGCACTGTTCATAACCAATTGAACAATAACAATGTTATTGTTATATGGCAATTGATTAGCGCTCTCCCTCTCACACACTCACTTACATATATATCTATAGCTCTCTCGCTCTATTGCTGCGTATCCTGCGCAATTATCAGCGGCAATTGACAATTGATTAGCTGGCCAAATGTTGTTGCTGTTGTTGTGGCTGTTGTTGCTGTGACTGTTGTGGCAGCTGGAGGCTTGTGTATTTGAAGCGAAACCAACAAATCGCAAGAAAGCTAATTAACAGGGGTAAACTCTGACGCATCAAAGGCCATTAGCCGATAAAGAGGCAGCCAGTCGGACAGACAGGGCAACAGTCAGCCAAGCCAAGCCCAAAATGAGCCCAAGGCTGAGAACGGAAATGCTTCGCACGGCAACAACAACAACTTTAGCGTGTTGCGATGAGTATAAAAAACAGTTTGCCACGCCGAAATGTATTTTATACCCTTTAAGAGGGTGTTATAGATTTGTCTTTAAATGTGCAACGCATTAAATGAGACATCCCTAAGTATATGCCAGAACGATAATGCCATGTTCGTCTATAATCAGGACGTAACGCATGTAGCCGGATCGGACTACTATATCAGATAGTTATCAGTCAAAAATATAGCTCTTAAAAAGACTTATTTGTTTCTCCAGATATCTTGACTAAACTTGACATTTACTAATTTCACATTGCTCTTTCCATTTAAGCAAAATCTTTTGAATGCCAGGCTATTAATTCATATAGCTATATAGGGAGAATCGGTCAAAACTTAATTATTATACAGAGAATTTTTCAAGAAATCTTAATCAACAATTCAACAATTACAAGCTTCACTAGTCTTATATATACGCAAAATATAGTTTATATATTTAAAAGAGTATTTACTGTTCGATGTGCCAAAGATAGCCGTTCCTTCGTGTTTTTTTCTGCTTGTAGTTTTTGTTGTCGTTCTCGTCGTCGTTGTTGTTGTTGCCATTTGCCAATTAACAAAAAGATTGACACTTTTATTTAAAAAGCGAGTCGTTGGCCATAGAGAACAACAGATTGCAATTTAGAATTTGCCACGCTTCGACAGTCGCTTGGCCAGCGGAGAGGCAGCGACGACTACTCCGACAGCCAAATTGACAGACAGACTTAAAGTCTGACAGTCGGTCGTTGTCTTCTTTATAAGTCTGTTATATATGCCATGTGCTTGTATGCAGATTATCAAATTGACAAACGGTTGTGAGGCATTTGTAATCGTTGTATTAGCCGCGATAATAACGAGCCGCATGCCGCAAGCTGCGAGTTGCCAGTTGACGGTTGACGGTTGACGGTTGCCAGTTGGCAATTGCAGGTGTCTGTCAGGTGTGTTCGATGGCCAATCAATAATATAATACCAAAATCCAGGCAGACAGATTTCGCCGACACTTTGACAGATGATTTTTGAGCAATACTGTGATTAGCATATACTTTGCTTGACTTGGGTATTTGAAAGCGTGGCAAAAGCTTTGATTGTTGATGGGGCATAGATTGATTGATTGATCGAAAAACAACATTAGACTTGCGATAAATGAAGCGAAATGAGTCCAAATTACTCATTTGTAATGCTGAACAGCACACGAGTATAAATACTCATTCATTTTCTATGAGTATCCAATTATACGCATTACCGATATGAATAAGTATTAAAAAGTAAATCAATACAAAAGTACTCATTTAAGCTCACTTTACTCGAGCTTGATACTGTTCAATAGGTATCCATTGATACGCATTATACGAGTATAAATGCCATAATTCGAATACTAAAATATACTTGAGTATTAATACAGTTGAATAAGTATGCATTTATACCTATTACCCATATGAATTAATTAAAAGTAATCATTTTTTCTCACTTTACTTATTTGTAATGTTAAAAAGTACTCGAGTTTAAATACTTCTTTATATTCAGTAAGTATCCTTTTATACGCATTACTCACTTGAATGAGTATTGAGTAGTACGCAAACGCAAAAGTATTCGCTTTACTCCACTGACTTCTATGCTTCAATATGCTTCTAATTATACTCCAAAGTAATTAAAACTAAATTTAGAAAACAGTAGAAAATTGCTTTATCTGCATACAAAATCGAGTCTAATCAAATCAAAGACATGTCTTAAGTACTTAAACTCGACTTTTCTTTAGCTAGCAATTATTGATTGCCTTGAATATTTAATAAATAAAATCTTTTGGCCAAGTCGAGCACAAATTTGATTTAATTAACTAAAAGCACTGAGAACAATAGAATAAACTTTGGCCTTAACAACCAAGCCAAAATGGTAACAAATCCCAGACATGTCATTAAGCCAGGCAAATCCCAGCAGAGGCATAGACTGAGTGAGAGAGAGAGAGGGAGAGAGAGGGAGAGGGAGTGAGTGAGAGAGTTCAATAACAGAGTGATTAAATTTTATTACAATGTCGAACAAACAATAATAAGAACCACCTTTCGATTATACTCTTCCATCAGGTCACGTTCTGGAGCTGGCGGAGCAGTCGGAGAACAAGACGTTGAATGTGTTCTCTCAGGTCTACAGGCGAATGGTGCCCCTGTCGCGAATGCTCATACATCAGCTGTACACGGAAATCATCAAGTATGTAGAGGCCCTTATCCCGGAAAGTGTCAATAAAAATAGCTATTTAACTGTTGCTGCTTCTTCTTCTTTATAGCCATTTGAAGTACACGTCGAACTATAGCAGCAATAATGGGCAGGGCAACAGCATTTTGCAAAGCCAGAGCAGCTTGGAGGATGCACTGCACAAGTTCTTTGAGAATCTATTTCCGGTTGCCTACCATCAGGCGGTGCACCTGACCAAGGACAATTACGGTGAGCTGCACGACGACTACACGAATTGCTTGAAGCACAACTACGACGACCTGCAGCCATTTGGCCCGATACCCAAGGAAATCCAGGCCAATCTGCTGCAGAGCGTGCACATGTCCAACATCTTTATGAACGCCCTGCTCCAGAGCGCCGAGGTGCTCAGCGAAACGGACGCCCTCTACGGCAAACAGCTGACGGACACGTGCCAGCTGCATCTGCTCAAGATGCACTACTGCCCCAACTGCAACGGCCATCCGGAGTACAGCAGGCCCAAGGTCTGCTACAGCTACTGCATGAACGTGATGCGGTGAGTAAGCCAATCCCAATCCCAATCCCTATCCCGATCTCCTCCAGCTGTGCGTTTGCTTATTCCGTTTTCCCCTTTCCATTCACAGCGGCTGCTCGGCTCAGTATTCGGGACTTCTGGACAGCCCCTGGTCCAATGTTGTGGAGGCCTTGGACAATCTAGTAGCCACGCACATCCGCTCCGACAGCGGCATCATGAGCACCATCAAGCAGCTGGACACGAAGCTATCCGAGGCCATTATGCGCGCCATGGAGAACGGACCAGAGCTGGAGAAGAAGGTAAGTGGAGAGATCAAAGCTGCTAGCCGGTTTTAAACTGAATCGGAACTGATTTGTTAACAAGGGAAAGAACAAAAATCGAAGCATGTTTTTTTTTCAAAAATCGTTCAGTTAGAAATAAAAAAGTTAAGACCGCAACTACTGAAAGAAAATATCTACGGCCTCCAATATTTCGAATTTGTTTCACAAAATGAATGACAAAGCAAGGTTTGAACCAAGATCTCGGTTCAAGATATGTAACCTAATATTCTGGTAAAGATACAATTTTTGGTAGAATCAGCTAATGTTGAAGCCCAATTGAAATGTCTAAGCAGAATTTGAAGCATGTTTATGGCAAACCAGGCAGGAAGTTGGTTTCTGGCTTTTGCAGCCCTGAATATATTATTAAATTTAGTTGAATGCGCTATACATTAATCATAAGCTGCAAAAGCGTGCCTGGCCTAAACCAATTTCCAAGAGCCTTAAACTATATACCTAGTATGGCATTTACAATTATAATTTTTAACATTAAGCCGGGCGCATTTTGAAGAGTTTTTCGCTCATTGAAAATGACAAGCTCGTGCGTGTTGGACAAGGACATGAAGGCTTTAATTGCGCCTTAATTTATGAACATTTTCAATTAATTTTATGGGTGGCCTTCGAGCGGATGCCGCCAGACCAATGCAACCAGTTTCGAGTGCATGACATTCAATTACGAGTCGGGGCTAAAGTTGTCTCCAAATGGGATTTAAAACTGTTCAATTAGATGACATTTATGCAGTCGGACGGCGGCAAGTTGCAATTTACATGCAACGCAGCGTGCCACGAGTTGGGGCACGTGCATGAGAGCCGGCGATTAGCGCGTGGGGCACAGGAAGTGCCGCTCGAACATGCGAATCTAACTCTTAACTATCTCCTCTTCCCTCTCTCCCCGCCCCCTCAGGTGAAGAAAACATGCGGCACGCCCAACCTGTTGCCATCGCTGACCGCCGCGGAGACGCAGCCGGTGCAGCAGCACGCGAGCATCAAGTGGGCAACGCCGCCAGATGCGGGCATCGTGCACTTCCTGTCGACCATCGAGAAGTCCAAGGAGTTCTTCACCAACATTGTGTACAAGTAAGTGCTAGCGAGGATTGCGGCCACAAACAAATCCTTATATATATATTATAAGCGAGATTGTGTGTGCGTGTGTTTAGTTAACTCTGAACATAAATTGACCTGTGAGGTGCACTTGGCAACGGATCTATCCTACTTGCCCCTGGCCATCTTGTAGTTCAAGTCGCGCAAAAGTCCAAAGACATCCCTCAGCAGGCACACGTAGAGCGGCGTAAAGATGGCTATGAAGAAGATCAGGTTAGCCCAGATGCAGTTCTTCACCATCGGACGGCAAGCAGTCTACGAAATATAGCAAAATTAAATATTAATAATCAGTTAACTCTTGAAATTCCCGGATTCCGGTTGCAAGACTTACGCCACGTGCAACTGCCGTGGGACGCACAAGGCAAAAGTTGCGAGCCGTTGTGTGCACAAACAGTACAAGCTCCTTGAACATGTTCAGGCTTTAGTTTTTTTTTTATGTAGAAATCAAAATTTTTTTGGAAAAATAAAGGTTGTTGCACGATTGGGCTGCCAAATGAGACTGGCAGAGCTGACAAGCTAGCAGGCAACATTCGACTACACACACATACACACACACACACACACAAGTTGATATGTAAATAAATGTAGATTTGAACCAGCTAACTGAGATTTGAATGCTTTTGCCACACAGCTTCTGTGACGAGGAATATACACAGCGCGACGATCATCTCTGCTGGACCGGAGATCGCGTCGGTGACTACACCCAGCTGCTGATGACGCCCGGCACGGACACCCAGCGCTACAATCCGGAGGTGCCATGGGAGAACCAGTCGCAGCTGAGCAGGCTCAACGAGCTGGTGGACAAGCTCATCAAGATACGCAAGAGCATCGGCGTTTCGGTAAGTGAAGAGAGCACAAGCTAATCCCTTGGTCCACTCAATCATATGTGTTGTTTCCCTGCTGCAGGCGCCTGTCTCCAACAGCCATGACATCCAGAGTGACATGGGTCGCGAGGGATCCGGCGGCGGCGGCGGCGGCGGCGGAGGAGGAGGCGGCGGCGGCCACATGAGCGACGACGATGAGGAGTACAGCAGCATACACGCCTCCGGTGATGGCTCTGGCGATGGTAAGTTACCCTTCTAAAGGGTATTATAAAATTGTCACAAAATGATGTACGAATGGAAGGAGACTTTGTCGAACCTATAGAGTATATAAATATGCTTGATCAGCATCAAAATAGGTCCATTTAAATGTTGAAGGAGCCGTTATTGAACCCATATATTCTATATCGGTATCAGGCTGTATATATGTTGGAGTCTGTCAAAGGAATAATCGGGCATACAATTGAGATCTATAAAAAAGTTTGTTTAGGAAAAATTTAGTTGTTTTTCAAAACATGTTGAGTAAAACTTAGCAGTTCCGAGCTGGAATACTCTCCTAACATATCGTATCAAACTCGTATCGAATAAGTCTACCTAATTATATAGCATAGATAAAAGCAGAAGAAATTGAATCTTTTCTATAGAAATATGCTTAAGGTCCATTTAATCTTCGGCATGCCGAAGTTAAATGTTCTCTCTACTCTTTTAGTTAGATTTAAGATAAGTCGGTGTCTGAGTCTTACTCTCTTCCACTCTCTCTCCACTCCCTCTCTCCCACACAGGTCCCACATCGAACTTCGATGATCCATCCGGAACCACGCCCATCAACTATGACAACGAGTCGCGCGAGGTGCAGAAGGGCGCGTCCAGCGCACTGAGGGCAACTGCGACGAGCCTACTCCTCACACTAGTCACACTCTACAGTAGTTGTAGTTAAAGCAGCAGCAGCACCCAAATCCCAAAAAAAAAACAATAAAAATAAATAAAATATATATATAAACTATATATATATATATGCACGCATAATAATATAAAACGCAAAGCAAGGCAGCGAAATGCATATGGAGCGCGCGCACAAAGTTCGACGCAATTAAATATTAATAATTATTATTAATATTATTATTATTATATTATTATTATTATCATTATCATTATTTTTATTATTATTATTATTATTTGTGTAATGCTTAAGTTGTTACAATTAATTTATTAGCCACTAAGCGCATTCACTTTGCCGAGTAACAAAAACCCAATTGGAGTTGCGCTACGTTGCTCCGTTTGGCGTTGCCACCTTTCTTCTAGCTTTCCCACGCCTGAGCTCGTTGCACCTCAACGCTGAATCCAATTAGACTTTTGTGCCATATAAATGTGTTGCGAGGTTTGCATAAACAACAATAACAACAACAACAATACAAAATATACAAAAAAAATAGGCTCAAAATATTGAAAGCAAAAACCTGTCCACCATCGACCTTTTTAGCAAGTGCAGTTTGTTCAGATACATGTTCTTTAAATCATATAAATATATAGACACATATATATATATATCTAGCGTACAGTACGTAAATTATAAAGCTCAATGTTCAAAGCGAATTGTTCCTTTTTGGTGTAATTAAATCAAGCGAATTATATAAATGCAAAAGATACAGATAAAAGATACAAGATACAAGATACAACTAGTTGCTGTTATGGCTCATTCTGCGGGAGCTTCTCTTAGAGTTCACAGAAATTAATACGTAAAACAAAAGAATTTAAAGATTTAAATGTTAATGAAATACAAATAACCGATTTATTGTTGTCAACATTTGTGAGAGCTCAAAGAATCGTATGAAAGCAAATGCATATTAATGGAATTTAGTTGAGTAAACGCACTTTTTGGGAAAAATAAAACAAAAACTAGAAGACTTACAGCTTTATACGCATGAAACAATGAAAATCTATTTAAATGGCATATAACTATGTGTATCTATAGATATACAAAATATCTAATACGTAGCATTATTAAAAGTAATTATATGAAGCAAACAGTTTGAGGTAATGTCATAAAATGCACACAACATAAAAACAAATACAATTTATATAAACTAAGGGAGAACATCAGCACCTAAATGCATTAAAAATACTATTTAATAAAAAAGTAATTTGTTAAGCTAAGCTGGTCGAAAAATGAGAACTGAGCTTGCAATTGAGAATCAGCTTTTGACCAAGCCAAAAGCCACTTGAAAAAAAAACAGTTTAATGCAAATGCCGTAGATGTTAACTAAAACCAACTAAATTCCCAGCTTCGTAATTTTTGTGTTGTCTTTTCAAAAGAAAGCAGCTTAGGCGACACTCTAAAAAATAAATAAAATGTATGCATAATTATTGCAAAAGCAGGCACTAAGAAATATAAATAAACATACTAACATATACATATGTGTAGTATAATAGAGCGTAAAGTGTAATAATTTAGCGTGTAAAGTGTAAAAAGAAATGGTTTAATGAGAACATGAAATTTAGTTAGTAGCCAATTAACAAAGGATAATAACACAACAAATTGATCTACTTACTATATAAAAATATATATAAACAAATATATATATATATATATATATATATATACATACTACTGATTGATAGCAACTAACGACCGCAGGCGAAATAATAAACAAGAAGAAGCAGATCATTAAGAAAAGCTCTGAGAAAAGCGGTCACATGAATATGTGTATGTTAAACTATGTATAATTATTATTTTTATTATTTAACTATTGCATGTGATTAATAATATTTAAGTTAAACGTAAACAAAACATATTATACTGTAACTTATGTATACCGCAACAGCAGCAAACACAATGTGCGAAAGGGAAAGAAAATTTATGCAAAAAGCAAATCATCTTTGTAAATCTATTCGAAGATAATGCAAATGTGCACAAAAAAATTAAATGTACCACTTTTTAGACGCCTAAAAACCAATAAATAATAATAAATAATTATGTAACAAAACAAATTCAGTCTATTTATTGACAATGTAAATGAAATCGGTAAGTTATTTTGCAATATTTTTTCATCAAAAGCCAACAAACGTATACATTTCAAATTCAAATTCAGCGCGCCAAATAACTTACATTTTGCAGCGTTGCCACTGCTCCGGAACTGGTTCAGGCGCTCAAGCTGAAGGCGCTGCCAACTTGATAAAAATCGATTACTGCTTTCGATATTTAGAGCCAAAAACATCACCAGCTGCAATGAAGGGTGGCAGCCTCGCAGATGGCAATATTTCAGAATTGAAAACTATCGAAAATATCGTAAAAAAAGGCGCGAATTTAGCATAACGCGGACACAGACGGCAGGCGGGAAGCGGCGTTCTGTTGTATTTTGGTTGCATTTTGTTGCAAGCGGGCAGCGAGTGAAGTTTCCACATTAGTTAAATAGCAAAATATTGTAAAAAAAACATAGACAAATGGCGCGCCGTGACTATGCACAGGATAGAGGTAAGAGAGTTACACAAATAAACAATTGAACGCAACAACTAAAGTTGTGCCTACAAATAAATCACTTAGAATCGATCAAGACATTTTTGGCCGAGTTCTGCAAATGCGACGATGATGGCAAAAAGGAGTTTGTTTATGGCTCGCAGCTGGTGAAGCTGGCGCATCGCGAGCAAGTGCTAATTACCATCGATCTGGACGACCTGGCCGAGTTCAATGAGAGTCTCGCCGAGGCTGTGATCGAGAACTGCCGACGCTATGTGTCCATTTTCAGCGATGTGATTGCCGAGCTGCTGCCCAGCTACAAGCAGCAGGAGGTCCACGCCAAGGATGCGCTGGACGTGTACATCGAGCATCGCCTGATGATGGACGCCCGGACACGCAATCCCATGGAGCAGCGCGATGAGCGCAACGCTTTTCCCACAGAGCTAATGAAGAGATTGTGAGTAGATCACGCCCGGGTGCACGTTAAAACCAGTATTAACGTCGTATTTGTTGATGCAGCGAGGTGGGCTTCAAGCCGCTGTCCACGGAGAAGGCGCACTCCATACGCGAGGTGAAGGCCCAGCAAATTGGCAAACTTGTCACTGTGCGAGGCATTGTTACCCGCTGCACCGAAGTCAAGCCAATGATGGTGGTGGCCACCTACACTTGCGATCGCTGCGGCGCCGAGACCTACCAGCCCGTCAACTCGCTCTCCTTCATACCTGTGCAGGAATGTCCCTCGGATGATTGCCGCGTAAACAAGGCTGGCGGTCGTTTATATTTGCAGACGCGCGGCTCCAAGTTTGTCAAGTTCCAGGAGCTAAAAATGCAGGAGCACAGTGACCAGGTGCCCGTCGGTCACATCCCACGCAGCATGACGGTGCTCTGCCGCGGCGAAGTCACTCGCATGGCTCAGCCCGGCGATCATGTGCTGATTTCGGGCGTGTTCCTGCCCATGGTGCGCACCGGCTTTGCTCAAATGATTCAGGGCCTCCTCTCGGAGACGTTCCTGCAGGCACACGTAAGTTTTGTAGAGATTATGTAGCTACTCTTATGTTGTAACTATTGTCTCCTGGCAGCGCATCATATGCATAAACAAGAATGATGATATTTCCGACAAAGATTGTGAACTGACGCCGGCAGAGTTAGAGGAGCTGGCTCAGGATGACTTCTACGAGCGCCTGGCCACCAGCTTGGCCCCCGAAATCTATGGCCACTTGGATGTGAAGAAGGCGCTTCTGCTGCTGCTTGTGGGCGGCGTGGACAAACGGCCGGACGGCATGAAGATACGTGGCAACATCAACATCTGCCTGATGGGCGATCCTGGTGTGGCCAAATCGCAGCTGCTGGGCTACATCAGTCGGCTGGCCATACGCTCGCAGTATACCACAGGTCGCGGCTCCTCGGGCGTGGGTCTAACGGCGGCCGTGATGAAGGATCCACTCACCGGCGAGATGACACTCGAGGGCGGCGCTTTGGTGCTGGCCGATCACGGCGTCTGTTGCATTGACGAGTTCGACAAAATGGCAGATGTCGATCGCACGGCCATACACGAGGTGATGGAGCAGCAGACCATATCCATAGCAAAGGCGGGCATTATGACCACGCTGAATGCGCGCGTCTCCATTCTGGCTGCTGCTAATCCCGCCTTTGGCCGCTACAATCCACGCCGCACCGTGGAGCAGAACATTCAGCTGCCCGCCGCACTGTTGTCACGTTTCGACTTGCTGTGGCTCATCCAGGACAAGCCAGATCGCGACAACGATCTGCGTCTGGCCAAGCACATCACCTACGTGCACAGCCACAGCAAGCAGCCGCCTACGCGGGTCAAGGCGCTGGACATGAATCTAATGCGACGCTACATAAATCTGTGCAAGCGCAAGCATCCCACCATTCCAGACGAGCTCACCGACTACATTGTGGGCGCCTATGTGGAGCTGAGGCGCGACGCTCGCAACCAGAAGGACATGACATTCACGTCCGCACGTAATTTGCTCGGCATTCTGCGCCTCTCCACAGCGCTGGCGCGTCTGCGTCTCTCCGATCGCGTTGAGAAGGACGATGTGGCCGAGGCACTGCGTTTGCTGGAAATGTCCAAGGATTCGCTCAACCAGATACACGAACACCAGAAGGGACAGTAAGTACAACGGGCTGCTTGAATTTGCTTCGGTTCTCATTATTCTAAAATCCACTTGCAGTGTGCCAAATACTTCGGATCGCATCTTTGCCATTGTACGCGAGCTGGCCGGCTCTGGCAAGGCTGTCAAGATCGCGGACATCATGGATCGCTGCACGACAAAGGGCTTCAAACCCGATCAGGTGGACAAATGCATCGACGACTACGAGGAGCTGAACGTGTGGCAGGTCAACATGGGTCGCACCAAGATCACATTTATGTAGACCCCCCATTGGGGGGAGGGCTATTTTATCTATTTCTATTTTAGTTGTTAAGCACATTTTCAAAATACATTTCGATCGACAAGTTCATGTTTCAACATAATTCATTTAGAGCTTATAAATAAAATCGCAAATTAGTGCAAATGATCTATTTTCATGCATAAATTGACTTTATTTCGTAGACTTTGAAGGACATAAAACACAGATAAAGACACAGATATATTAAATACATTAAGTAGTTAGTTATAGAAATGTGAAATATTCCGTTTTCACTTGATGACAAAAAAAAATACTCGCCGAGCCCAGCTTGTTGCCCCTAAATTCGTAAATAACCCCTTCAAGGAGCTCACAAGACAATTTCTGGCATAAAATTCTCAACCAGTTCCAGTTATACAGACATTGATAAGGATATAGTATATGTATGCATGTCATTTAACAAAGTTTACTTTTCACTACTTGGTTATATTTGCTGCAACTACTGCAGATCTTGGGATCAGATTCCCAACTACATGCTCTTGTTGAAGCTCAGGGCGGCACGCAATTTATTGCGTATGCGCGGCGAGTTCCAGCGATTGCACCCGGCCGAGCTCAGGCCCACTACGGAGCGCAGCTCGTTGGGCGAGATGCCCTCATCGACGTCATCCGCCTCCGTTTTGATCTCCATCTTCTGCACAATGAGACGCACCAGCTGATGCTGCTGCTCCAGCATGCGGCTAATGTCACGCAGCTTGCGTCGCTGACGCTCCAGTTCGGCATTGATCAGGTCGTCGTTGTTGTCGAAGCTAATAACATCCATGGCAGCTGCGGAGTTGAGTTGGAAAGTGAGTCAAAGTTAAGCCCAACTGTATGTGATGAATGAATGAATGAGTAGAGGTAACTGCAAGCGGTGCATCTTTCTGTCAGGCAGGAATCAAAGCTTTGACCTTAAGTAAGACCATGTCTGTGCTTGCATTATAGTAAGTCGAGTCTCTGAATACGCTAGGAAAGACCAGCAATGGCTGCCAGGTCATACTATTCCCGTGGGTATATAAGCAGGCTAAAGATT